ACTAATAATTACAGCTTATAGAAAAGTGTTACTAAGAATTAAGTGTTTTCCTTTTCATGGTTGTCTTTGTTTTAAACAGATATTACTATCAAGGAGAGTTTCCGGCTTTTTTTAAGTTCCATGCCTAGTAATACATTTCCTGTCACAGTTCTTCAAAATTCTGTCAAGGTAATGGATGCCTCAGAGTGTTCACCCAGTGGGTCCAGGGAGCTCAGGCCCCGTGCAGGACCATGTCAGAGTCTATAACAGCCCAAGTGGGGAGGTGGGAGTCAGTATCTCCTCAGTTTCCCAGGCCACCGCCCATCCTTGCGTGCCCTAGTCCTATTGGTCATTCAAGTTGTCCCATCTTAGCCTCTAGCAAAACATGTCAAGGATGCAGGGATGAGAATAGGATCCCTCCCAGCATGAAAGGGATGCTTCAGCATTGGAGAGACAGGAAGACCTACAGGCTGCTGGATTTTGGAGCTGAAAGTTTCCAATATGTGAGCAGCCTCTGCAGATGTTCACCCAGGCATCCTCCCTCCCTGCCCATGTCATCAAGGCAAAGTGTGGGGTGATGCCATGTGTTGGGATGAGCAGGAAAGCCGATGCCAAAGGCCTTGTTTAGAAAAGTGGGCACCAAATAGAAGTGACTGAGGTTCTTGTGCAGGTGGTTTACCCACTGGAGGTGTGAGGACCCACCAGGCCCTGTTCTCCCAGGACGGGACCACAGCAGGACATAGAGCGGGCACGAGCATGCCAGGACACCCCACGGGCATGAGTTATCTACATTTTCTCAGTGGCCTCAGTCCCCATGGGCGACTCAGAAATCATGCAGATCTGTCAAGTCACTCTCTCTGACATGTATGCTTCATCTAAATCCAGGTAACCAATGAGCCTCCAAAAGGCTTACGTGCGAATATCAGACGAGCATTTACTGAAATGACACCTTCATATTTTGAGGAAAATATACTTGGACAAAAATGGAGACAAATAATATTTGGCATTTGTTTCTTCCATGCAATTGTTCAGGTACACTCCATTCTGCTTCTTAATAGAAACAAGAACATGTATTTTGTTAAAATAAATAAGTAAACAGTAAGAATTAAATGAAAGCTTACAAGTGGCATCGTGAAATGCCGAGGTCCTGTTCTGTGTCTGAGCCCAGTTAGTTCTAACACAGTTGCTGATTGATCTCTGTGCTTCCCTGGTCTCGGTATCTCACAGCCTTGCCTCCCAGCTCCGTTCTCAACACCTTCACCTGGACGATTGCAGCAGGTCCAATGCAGAAAACTGATCTCCTCAGCTATGCCTTACTCCCCAAAATCTGCTTCCCCCCTAGACTCTACTTCTGATATCAGTGCCTCCTTCTGTCAATCACCTACAACCAAAATTTCAGGATTATTTTTGTTCTTCCCTCTTGACACATATATATCATGTCAGTCATTAAGCCCTCATCTTTCTTGCAATAATTTTACTCTCACCTGTTCCTGTTTGAGTGGCTATAACAACCTCCACAGCTTCCTCCCAGTGACTGGAGTCCCAGGTCCCCTGAAAGATGATCTTCAGATCAGCACTACGTTCTCCTTCCTTCAGTTCAAACCTCACTGCTGTCCAGGTCTGCTACCCATCCTGTGGCTTGTACTTGAATTCTGACTCTTCAAATATGTAGCTCTAGATGGAGTCTTGATTCAACTGGCTGACTGCTTTTCAAATGTGTGTAGGCCATAGAGAAAAAAAAATCAAGTCTAGAAAAAAGCAAACTGTAGATGCAAGATATGGGAGACCCAAGAGGATTGGAGTTTCTAGGTGTGAGGCCCTTGTTCTAATGAAAGCAGTTGAGATGAGGACGTGGTTTAAGATTTAGAGAAATTTTGAACCGAAGAGAACATAGGACCAATCCTCTGGTATAATCATCAGTTTAGAATTATGAAATTAAGATGGGATGGATAGAACACAAACAGAAGGAAAGATTTCATTATGAGAAGTCATGAAACAAGGATTATGATTCTGTGTACCAGTAAAAAAATAAAATAAAATAAGACATCTCTATACAGAAGTCAGTATGTAGTCAGCACAGCATGGCCTGACTGAAGAGCCTGCGTGGTGGACACACTCTTTAGAACAGTAGGGGGAGCTCTCTCCACCAGCTAGGTGAGTGTCAGTGTTTTTTATGCCAAAGGACATCAGGTGGGATTCTTTTTCCTATTTGGATGGAGAAATATTTTATCGTGAAGAAGAAATGTTCTTTGACAGGCCTGCCCCATTTTTCAGGAACATCAAATGTTCTGTTAGAAATGTTGGAGGGGCCCGTTCTGGAGGAAGAGGTGCCTCCTTGTTTGGTGGGAGCCATGCTGAAACCCCAGCCTAAGTTAAACTGCATGATTTTTTTAACTGATTTTACAGAATGAGGATGCCCGACTTCAATAGAAACCTTTTTGTTCTCAATATTTTTCATAAAATTAATGTTATCAACTTTTACTTCAGATGGTTTTCATTTTCCATTCTAGGAAAGAAAGAAGTTTGGCCCTCTTGGTTGGAACATCTGCTATGAATTCAACGACAGCGACAGAGAATGCGCTTTACTGAACCTCAACCTTTACTGTCAAGAAGGAAAGATTCCGTGGGATGCACTGACCTATATTACTGGTCAGTACGCCCACATGGCCAGGGCATCCAAGCTGTGTGCCACACACAGTTGGTTCACACCCACCTGGCCCATACAAAGATGGCCCCCTCCATGGTGTTGGATCGCGGTGGTGATGACTTCTAGTATTCCCTTTGCGAAGAGAAGACCAGGACCAGAATATCATAAGAATAATGACACATACAAAAGTGGGACAGATGTTTCCTCCAATAATAATAGCAAAAAATTACATTGCTCTTGCTACATGCCGAGCATTATTCTAAGCATTTCCCATTAATTAGCAGATTTAATCCTCACAACAGCCCTGTAAGGCAAAGACTGTTATATTCCTACTAGAGGCCTGTTGCACAAAGAGATTTGTGCAATAGGCCTTCCCTTCCCCTGGCTGCCGGCACCGGTTTTCCTCTGGCACCCGGGACCCAGGCCTTCGCTCTGGCTCCGGATGGAGCCTTCATTCCTTGCTCCGCCACTTTCCCCGGGACCCAGGCCTTTGCTCCTGCTCCAGATGGAGCCTTCAGTCCTTGCTCTGCCACTTTGCCCTACATATGCAAATTAACTGCCATCTTTGTTGGGTTTATTTGCATACTCTCCTGATTGGCTGGTGAGCATAGCAGAGGGATGGTTGAGTTACATTTTTGTCTATTATTAGGTAAGATTTTACATGTGAGAAAACTGAGGCACTCCATTTACAACCAGTAGAGCCAAGATTTAACCCAGACAATCTAGCCTCCAGAGTTAGTGCTCTTAAATTCAAAAGACTCTAGACACTGATTGACCTTTTGGGTCAGGTGTACTTTTGAAAAAGGGAAAAATTTCAAGAATTAAAATTGCTAGCTGATATTAATTATGCCACAAGGGACCTTACTGACAAAAATTAGATCCGATTTGGAATCATGGAGGTCCAAATCATGAAGAAGAGATTTGCACTGGGAAGTGGGGGAAGGGAGAGCTCTGGAAGGGGACGGGGTGTGAGTGGATGGTTTTCATTGGTGAGTAAGGGGCGTGTGGGACAGCAGAGAGGTACCAGGTGAAAAGCCAATGAAACCTTGAAACAACGGATAATAAAGCAACAGTAAGAATGGATGAGGGCCTATCCTCAGGGTAGACCAAGAAGGGTGAGGGGATGGGCCTGGGGCCTGGGAGGCTAATTTATACCCCTGCCCCCAGCCACTCCTGTGGGGCCGAGATTGCTGAGCAGGATGGTGATGTGAGCAGGCTTGGAATTTGCCGATCGCAATGGAGCATGCTGCACGGAGCTTCTCTGTGGAGAGAGAGACGGGATACCAATAAGTTTAATTCCCCATAGCATAATTTTTGTGAGACAGGTTGGCTCCTTACCTTGAATCTCTTTCTTCCCTAGCTTAATATTAATAATCTGTAAGGTAGGTTGGGTTTGGATGCCTTGTTGTAAATGTTTTCCCACCAAAAGCAATGTTTCACAGAAAGTATGTTTTAAAATACTGCAGTCAATGATAATGGGAGACCAAAAATCAATAGTTTGAAGCAAAACAAAACAAACAAACAGAAAGAAGGAAGAAATATGTAAACAGAACTCAGTGGCTTTAGTTTCTGTTATTTGGAAAACACAAAATAATAAGGGCAGAGTACATGAACTAGATTTTCTCCTGCTTTTTAAAAATTGACTTATTCTCTTTGGGGGAGGTAGTGGAAGGAAAATCTTGTGCTATTTCCACTTTTAATACCAAATAAATGAGTATGTAAATCAACGTATTAGAAATGGCATGTGTCTATCCATTAAAAAGAAACAATATTATAATACGTTTTTAAATGCAAATGCTTTGCAGGTGAAATTACATATGGTGGTAGAGTTACAGACACCTGGGATCAAAGATGCCTTCGGACTGTCTTGAAAAGATTTTTTTCTCCTGAAACATTAGAAAAGGGTTACAAATATTCCGAGTCAGGTGAGTGACTTTTCAGTTCTGTGGAAAAGACCTTCCCTAAGAAGTTGTTGCCAGCATCTCTCCGTTTTCCACGCAGGCGTTCTCTGTGTCCAGTCCTCGCAACCCAGTCCCGGTGCCCACCCTGTCCCCAGGCTTGACCGCCTTCCAAACTGCTTTGGTTATAAACAGCACAAGGCCATATTTTGGGCTTTGACCACTTTGAATTGTTTCTTTTCTAAAATGGGTTGTATTCTGTCTACATGCGTTTTCAACGTTATAGAAATCTGGGGCCCTTAACAAGGTTTACCTTTCCAGCAGTGCCTCCCTGAATTCGAGAATCGTGAAATGTTCTGGGCGAGACACCCTGAAAGGTGACGGCCCTAATCAGGCGCTCAGGGCCTCAAGAAAAGGTGAAGAAACTAGACATGACGTGGAGGCTTGGGAAAAACTGTCCTTGTTTCTATGGGAGGCCGCTGATGACAGCCAGCCTCTGAGCCTGGCAGAGAACTACCAGACTTAGCGGGGCAAAAGCCAGCCTATCTGAGGCATTTCCTTCCTGTGTCTTCAATAACAGGCATCTATTTTGCGCCCTTGGCTGACACCCTACAAGAGTTTAAAGACTACATTGAAAAGCTACCTTTGATAGATGACCCAGAAATATTTGGAATGCACGAAAATGCCAACCTAGTTTTCCAGGTATGTGGCCTTTCAACCTAAAATGCCTGTTCATATTGTGTATGTCAACTTGCAACGTCGGTAATCACCTCACCAGCTCTGTCAATTCTAATATCCCTAAATAAACAAATAAAATACGTGTTTCACCTTACCTTCAGCTTTTAGTTCCACTTTAGCCTGTTCCCTCTGGATCCTTCACAGAGTCCTAAAATCATGATGCATTTTCCTGTCACTGGCCACCCCCTTCCACCTCCCAGCCTTCTGCCAACCTCACAATCTACCTGCTGGCCTACCATAACGTGGGGACTTAGATGATCATCCGGAGAGTCCTTTCTTTTACCCTTCTCCCTCCGAATATACTGGGCGTATTTGTTTCATATGGACCCACAGATGATCACATTATAAAAGTACAGTGACAAATCTCCAAGGCCGAGAAATTAAAACACCGAACTTTAAAAGTACAGCTCATCGAGGGCACAGTACCAGAGCCCAGCAATAGGTCCAATGGACAATTTTACTCCTATAAGACCTCCTGCTGCCGCACCATTACCTACGAGGAGTCCAAGCTCCTCACAGGGCACTCAAGGCTCCCCATGACCTGACCACTACAGACCTTTCCACTTTCATCATCTGTCATGCTCAGGTGTCTGTGGCTAAACCAAAGCCGTGAAATGAGCTATGTCCCTGAGGGCCCTGCGATGCTTTAAAGGTTGAAGACTAGGCTGGCCTCCCAAGGCCAAAAGGAATCACCTCCCTCTCTTTTCCTTTTTCTTTTTTTCCTATTCATCCTTCCTTGTAACTTCAATTGTGCCCCTACAGTGTTAGAGGGTGAGGTCTGCCTAGATACCAAGGAATCCATGCAAAACAATAGTGGAGTCTCTGGAAAGAACATCAAGAGGTTAATGCTCTGAAACCTGGTGTCACGTTCTCCACCCTTAAAATCGCTTTGCTAGTCAGTGAGGAGTTAGAATAGTCTATCTTATTTCTCCTTATTCTGCTTCCAGCAGGAAAAAGAGGCGGGCAGACCTAATGCTCATTTGCACTCATACCTGATGTTTGCTCTGGAGTGGGTGGGGTGTGGAGGGTGAGAGAAGGGGTGTGGGGGGGGGATATGGTATAGGGGAGTGCTGAGAGATACAGCACTGAGGGTAGGAGCAGCACTCTTGGCGGTGTGTGCCTGGGAGCACAGTACTTTTGTGTTTTCTGCTGGTTCAGGATGACTGAGAACTTGGGAACAGGCAGGTAGTGGGCCCCAGTATGTTTTTCTGTCCTGCCTCCCTCCATTTTTCTGGTATAATGCATGCCCTACTCCCACCCCTTCCTCATCCATAAACTTCTGGTAAGAATTCTAACTACCCACCACCCTCACAGAGGTGAGCATGTCACTCAGGCCTGGCCAAAGGCAGCACCCCGTCACCTCACCACCTGACTTGGTCGAAGGAACAGGCACGTGGCCCATGCTAGGTGGATGGGAGTCCCTTCCGGAGATAGTGTCTGTAGATGCTGGGATGCGGGGAGGGCTCTTTCTTTCCTCTCGGAATCCCTGGTTAGGATGCTGTGTATCTGAAGTATCCTGTGGCCTTACCCCTGGCACCCTCCCCACTCCCCTACCGTGTGAAAGAAGGTCATCTGTCACAGGAAAGAATGAGAGGAACAGCCATGCATGCACAGGAGAGAAAGCACTGGATCTGTTCATGCCTGAAACCCACATGACTTGTGTTTTCTTCCCAGCTGTGTGAGCCAACAGGTTCCTTTTCTTTGCTTTAGCTGATTTAGTTTTGTTAATTCTGCTTCTTGTCATCAATAGAATTTTAATACAAATGATTCCTTCCTTAGCCCAGCAAACTACAGGTTCTTACTAGTAAAGAAAATTGAACCTAGTTTTTTTAAAAAAACTGAACCTTGACTTGTACATATCAAGTGGAGATACAGTGAAGAAATTTGCCTCCAAAGAGAATAATGAGCATAAGTCAAGGGCAATCTACATAGATAGTCTATGAGCAAATGGAAATCTAGTGTCTCTTTTCTGATTAGAGGCTGAAAAAATAAAAATAAAAATAACAGCCCTGACCGGTTTGGCTCAGTGGATAGAGCGTTGGCCTGTGGACTAAAAGGTCCCACGTTCGATTCCGGTCACGGGCATGTACCAAGGTTGCGGGCACATCCCCAGTGGGAGATGTGCAGGAGGCAGCTGATCGATGTTTCTAACTCTCT